ATCCAGGAGATTATACAGACCTGGAGAGAGAGATGCCCTGGGACAGCCAACAGGGAAACTGACTGGAGCTTTGCCTCAGGAGCAGCAGTCGGTCATTTAGATTCGGCATGTAACACCTTCTTTGCTAGACCATGCATTAGGTGGAGAGAGGGCAGCATCTGTCTCCAAAAGCAGGTTGTGTTAGACCTCAGATGGTTGACAAGCCCAGAAACACAGGTCCCAGGGAACATCACCAAGCAGATTTTATTTCTAAGTCCCTTTCACTAAAAACACCACAGAATGCAAGAATCAACAGTAGCTCCCACCCTCTCTATCAAGCATATAATGAATATAATCAGAAGAGCGAGAGGATAGCACATCCATGAAATGAAATAGGTGTTTGTGCAAAGGAACAACTGGAGATATGAATGATGAAAAAATTTAACTGTTTATATGTAATCTTTTCACTATATATTAATATTGTAATGAACCCCAATAGAGAGTAGCACAGTCGTTTGAAAGGGCTGGATAGAAAATGCTAAATTACAATTCTAGATAAAAACAAGGAAATGGAATAGAGAGTATGTGTGTGTGGAAGGGTGTATGTATAAATGTTAAGAAATATGAGGAACAGACCAAGAAATTCCAAAATCCATTTAATAACAGTGACAGGAAGGCCATGTTTTTTTAATATAAAATCCCTGGCCAGTGTGGCTTAGTTGGTTGGGCATTGTCCCATGCACCAAAAGTTTGCCAGTTTGATTTCCGGTCAGGGCACATGCCCAGGTTGCAGGCTCCATTCCCAGTGGGGGTGTGCAGGAATCAGCCAATCAATGTTTCTTTCTCCCTCTTCCTTCCTCTCTCTAAAGTCAATAAAAACAAATATAAAGTAAAATAACCTTATAGAGTGCATGGGGAATAAAAAGACGGAACGGAATAGAATAAATATTGAAGGAACCAAAGAAAAGAGAAAAATTTAAAGATATGAAAGATGAGTTCTCTAATTGGAGGTGCCCACTAGAAGTCTGGTAGGAAAAATCAAAACAAAAATAAATAGAATTGGCTTCCAATTCCACAAAGATTAAGTAGCCCATTTCTCCCAGGTTCTCCCTGTTAAATCTAAAACCTCTAGACTTACTGTAACAGGATGGAGGTAAGAAGGGGGACTGTCAATACAGCTCAGGACTTGCACTATTACACGGGGCTGAGATCCCTGGCTTCCCTTAATGGCCCACATATACCCAAGGCTCATGTAATCAAAATGTCATTTATTTCAGGCACCTGGGTGCAGGTGGTCTGACTCCAGAAAGAGCCAGCGGCGAACAGGGGAGGGAGCAGGCTTTTTATGTGCTCAGGGAGAGCTGCAGATGGGGCTTCGGCTTGACACATGTATCAGGTCCATAGTTTATAGCCTTGCCCTTTGTCGTGCTGCTGGCGCCAGACATCCTTTCTCGGGTGTGTGTGTGTGTGTGTGTGTGTGTGTGTGTGTGTGTGTGTGCATGTGTGTGTGTGTGCAGGGCTTATGATCTTCAGGAATTTCTGTAAAATAACCACTCAAGGGGAGCATGTTTGTGCAAGGCGTAGGCTAGCAAAATGAGCTTTCCCTTGGACATTCGTTAGATTTTGTAAGGCTCAAGCCTTGTGTTCTCCAGTTAACCCTTTCAGTTAAAACTATTAGCTGATAGAAATGGTTAATATGTTAAAAGTATGAAAATCATGACCACATGGGCTTTGTCGTGTGTTGAAATACAGTTAAATATTTGAAAATCAGAAATGCCAGCCACCACTTTCACTCCAGGGAGCATGCTCTGTCTCTCTGCAGCTTTGAGATGGAAAATACCATCCCTTCTCCAAGACCCACCAGTTGTGGACTTTGGGTCCCTTACCTGCCTCATTTAGTCTGTCGCCTCCTCGGTAAAATGAGGCTGATTATAGTGCCTACCTCAGGATGGTGAAGAATGCTAGTCATGCTCAATATGGGTGCAGAACACAGTGACTGGTGAGCATTAAGACCCGAGTGCAGCCCTGGCTGGTTTGGCTCAGTGGATAGAGCATCGGCCTATGGACAGAAGGCCCCAGACACATGCCTGGGTCGCAGGCTTGATCCCCACTGGGTGGGGGTGGGGAGGCGCGTGTAGAAGATGGCCAACCCATGATTCTCTCATCAATAATATTTCTCTTCCTCCTTCCCTCTTTTCCTCCCTTCCTCCCTCTCTCTTTTTTCCCCTCCCTCCCTCCTTCTTCCTTAATAAAATATATATATTAAAAAATATATCAATAATATATATATATATATTTAAAAAATCAATAATATATATATATATATTAAAAAAAAAAAAAGACCTGCATGGCTATCGCCATGGCTCTAGGCTCCAGAGGCCTTGAGGTCATTAGTAGGTATGGCCCCTGCCCTCAGGAGCCTGCATTAGATCAGATGCTGTTTACATAATAATAAGTTTAATAGCTTGAGAGGTTAAGTGCTTTATATGAGATCACGTATTTGACATCAAATATTAAGGGGGAGGAAAATGCTTTAATGACTTAGGAGATGGCAAATGATTGGAAATAATTACGGAGTGATTGGGAAATAAAGTGATTATACATCTATTTCCTTTCCTATAAAAAATTTTTTCTCTGGTGTCTTATCAGAATGATTTCACTAAATTTCCATCATCCAGATTCAAAGCTCAAAGCCCTCTCTTTGTCTCTATCCACCAGTGCTTCTTTCCACTCCTTGGTCCCCTTCCAGTTACAGATAAAATACTCACTCCAGCCTTTAGAGCATTAATGTATGATAGATACTTAATAAATATTAAGCCATTTAACTGAGCTGCTTAAAATAAATTCCTGGTTCCTTACTGACTATGGCATAAACTTGATTTTGCCTGAAGATGAAAACAGACTCCAATTTACCTTCCTTTTTTTATTGTTCTTTTTGTTGTTGTTGTTATTCATCTGAGAATTTTCATGTTTTTTTTTTTCTTTCTGAGAATTTTCTTTTTTTTTTCTTTCTGAAAGAGAGAGTGGAAGGGAGAGTGGGGGAGAGAGAGAGAAAGAGAGAGAGAGAAACATCAATGTGAAAAAGACACATTCATTGGTTGCCTCCCACACATGCCCCAACTGGACCTGGGAGTCGAACCTGCATCCCAGGTACATGCACTGACCAGGAATCAAACCTGAGAACTTTTGATCCATGGGTGATGCTCTAATCTCTGAGCCAAATCAGCCAGGGTTGCAAAGATTTAGTTAATTAATTAAAAAAATAAATATCAGCCACCAAATTATCGGGCTAAGGAAAAATCATATGATCATATTATAAATAGCATTTCAGTAAATTTCATATGCATTCATAATTTTAAAACACTCTCAGAAAACCAAGAATGGAGGGAAAATCTCTCAATTTAATTAAAAAAAAATCATCTACAAAAAACTTCTAGCTAACTTAATGGTAAAAGAATAAATACTTCTAATGTTATTCACTCTTACCACTCTTATGTAACAGTGCATGAAATTCATGCTTTGGGGGGATTGCGATTTTCCCTCCACCCAGCCTGCACCCTCACAATCTGGGACCACTGGCTTCTTACCACTCACCTGCCTGCCTGCCTGATCTCCCCTAACCACTCTGTCTAATCACCTCTCTGCCTGCCTGCCTAATTGCCCCTAACTGCTCTCCCCTGCTGGCCTGATCCCCATAACTGCTCCAGAAGATTTCTGATCTAATTAGCATATTACCCTTTTATTAGTATAGATATTTGGAAAATAATACCTAGCATAATAAGACAAGGAAATGAAATAAAAGGCATACAGGTTGGAAATGAAGGAAAACATTTGTCTCCATTTGTAGCTGACATTTTAGTCTGCATAGAAAAGACCAAGGCATCTACAAAAAACCTTTTGGAACTAAAATGTGAGTTAAGCAAGGTCCAGGCTACAAGATCAACACATAAAAATGAATTGTTTTGCTCTATACTAGTAAGGATATGTGGATATTAAAATTAAAAATACTTAGGTATAAATAGGAAAAACACTTTAGGTCTTATACTCTAAAAACTAAAAAATTACAAAACACTGATGCAAGAAATTGTATTTATTTTGTTGAAAGAAATTAAATGAAGTGACATAGACACACATGTTCATTCCTTGAAAGACTCAACATAGTAAAGAAGTCATTTCTTCCCAAACTAATAGGTAGATTTAACTTCATTGCTGTCATAATCCTAGCAAGCTCTTTTGTACTAATATACAAGATCATCCTACAATTTTTATTGAAAGACAGGGCTACAACAATTTTTAAAAAGAAGAATAAAGCAGGGAAAATCGCTACACTATCTCAAGACATATTATGCAGCTATAGTAATCAACAGTATGTGATACTGACAGAGAATAGGCACATAATCAATGAAACAGAATAGAAAACCAAGTATAGCCAAATAATTTTTGACCAATGTGCCAAAGTAATTCAATGGAGGAAGAATAATACTTGCAACAAATGGTTACTGCAAAAAGTAGATATTCACTGTTAAAAAAAATCCATCTCGAAGTTTTATACCTTATACAATAATTAATACAAAATGGAGTAGGTCAGTCACTCAAGTGGAAAGGAAGATACTCGACTGCATGTCATGAGCAATTGGCCTGAAACAAATGGTATGTTTACATAGCATTCCACTATCATTGAATATAAGTATATGGTGTTACCGTCAGAAAAGCCCCATCTAGGATTAAGGAGGACTTCCTTTGGGAATTATTGCTTTCCATTAGACCCCCTCACTTCCTCAGAATTATAACCCATTTCATAAGGCCTCAGTTTCCTCTTACAGTTTCTAGAACAGAGCATTATTTTGTCATGCACACTCAATGGTGCAAGTCAATGGTCTGGTGTTCTGAGTGGCATAGCATTCTGCCCATCTCTGATTCGTCACCCATGATAGACCAGTAAAAGTTACCACTTAGATTCCTAGCTGTTCAAAATGTTTTAAGTTTCTCAGCATACTAGAGCTTCCTCTCTTTCAGCAGCCATGAATTTCCCGATGCTGACCTTCATTATATGTGGGTTACTAATTTCAGCGACCAAAGGTAATGGAACCCTAGAATATAAGGATGAAGGAACTAGGATGAATTATTGACATTGAGCTCCTAGGTGTCACCAAGGGGGGAAAGAATCCATTGGAAAAGTCTTGGGCCAATAAAGAGTAGCAAAAAATGCTCTTATTATGTCAGCTCCACATCCCAACTCTCTAAGAAATCCTTAGAGGCACCTATCAAGCTGGGTATCTCCTGAGAAATTTTTCCAAAGGCAAGGATTTTCTCAATCTCCTCAGCAGCCTTATGTCTCTCTATGTAACTAACAGTGTTAACTCAGCCTCATGTCACTTCTATTTGAATGATTTCATCGTTATACTTGTCTCGTTGTGTCCTGCATGTTAAACTCTTACTACCATCTTGAATTATCTTTTCTTATGAAAGTACCTTTGCAGGAATCTTTTATTTATTTATTATTATTATTTTTTAAAATATATTTTATTGATTTTGTACAGAGAAGAAGGGAGAGACAGAGAGAGTTAGAAACATCGATGAGAGAGTCATTGATCAGCTGCCTCTTGCACCCCCCCCCACTGGGGATATGCCCGCAACCAAGGTACATGCCCTTGACCAGAATCGAACCCAGGACCCTTCAGTCCCCAAGCCAACACTCTATCCATTGAGCCAAATCGGTCCTGGCAGGAATCTTTTATTTTTATATTCTGAGATATGGCGAACAAGTTCATCACACTGTTTGTAGATTCTGCAGAGCTGTCATGAGAAAGAGACAACATAAATTTGAGTTATAAGGGGGATAAATGAAGACAGAGTAAAGACTAATATACAAGACCAATAGGGAGCTTCTATGATATTAGATAAAAATGAACGAGGTTGTTCCTCTTTTGAAAAATGCTATTACTGAAAATTATCTTCACTATTTTTAGCTGTGGCATCCATCTCTTATCAGAAAGTCTGTTACATCTACCTGCAAATTATATCCAGAACCAACACCACCTGCACTGCTACCACTCTGATTCAAGTTACTGTCATGTCTAACCTGTTACTGCTATAGCTTCGTCACAGGTTTCTGTTCGATCCTTGGCTTGTGCAGTCTACTGTCAAGATAGCAGAGAGCATGATCTGCTCACCCTGGAAGTCAGATTATGTGTATTTTCTGTTCAAAACTCTGCAATGTCTCCCCCCTCTTCACTCAGAGCAGTAACCAGAGTTTTTATAGTGACCCACCTGGCTCTCCATGATCTGGTCCTTAGGATGTCTCTCACCTCATCTCTTTCTATTCTAGTCCTTGCTCACTTTGTTAGAGCCACACTGGCCTCAGTGCTGTTCCTCAAACATGCCAGGCTTGCTGGACCCTCAGAGTTCTGTTTGTTTCTTCTACTCTGTTTCCCCGAAAATAAGACAGTGTCTTATATTAATTTTTTCTCCCAAAGTTGCGCTAGGTCTTATTTTCAGGGGATGTCTTATTTTTGGGGAAACACAGTAGTTAGAATGTACTTGCCCCAGATATCAGTGTGGCTAATGCTCTTACCTCCTTCAAGTCACCATTTAATTGTCACCTTCTTTCAGACCTATGCTAACTGCTGTTTAAGAAATTGCAATCTGGCCAAAACTGGTTTGGCTCAGTGGTAGAGCATCTGTCTGCGGACTGAAAGGTCCCAGGTTTGATTCCGGTCAAGGGCATGTACATTGATTGCGGCACATCCCCGGTAGGGGTGTGCAGGAGGAAGCTGGTCGATGTTTCTCTCTCATCGATGTTTCTAGCTCTCTATATCTCTCCCTTCCTCTCTGTAAAAAAACAATAAAATATATATTAAGAGAAAGAAAAAAAAAGAAATTGCAATCTGGCCTCATGACATTGCAAATAGATTCCACTTAAATCTGTTCTCTCTTATTTCTATAAACCACTTATCACCTTCTCACATAGAAGATAACTTATTGGTTTTTTTTTTTAATTGTCTGTATTCTCCTAAGTTACATATGATTTTTTCTGCTTAGTTCACAAATGTACCTCAAGTGTCTAGAATTGAGTCTGCACCATAGTTAGGGGCTCAAAACTGTGTTGAATGAGGGATTATGCCCTAAATTTTTACTCTGAAGGGAATGGTTAAAAAGGAGTAGTGAGTACTGCAAGTGAGAAACAATTCTGATAAAAACTTGACAGATCAAGATGATTTAAAGAGTTTAGGAGAGATGAACTAAGAGACTTCTGATTTCAAGTATGGGTACCCTGGAGGAAAAGAAAAATATTCTCTGTAGAAATGAAGAATGGAGACGCAATGATAGATTTTTGTCTTAGATGAAGCAAGTGAAATGTCTACATTTAAAAAATTTTATTTTTCAATTATAATTTACGTTCCATATTTTGTATCAGTTTCATGTGTACAGTATAGTGGTTAAACAATTATATAATTTTCAAAGAATTTCTACCCATATTTCCAGCACCCTCTTGGTATCATCAGGCTCACAGATACAGAGAACAGACTGCTGGCTGCCAGATGGGAGAGGGTTTGGAGAGTTGGGTAAAAAAGGTGAAGCAATTAAGAACTATAAATTGATAGTTACAAAATAGTCATGGGGATGTAAAGCACAGCATAGGGAATTTAGACAATCATAGTGTAATCTACATTTTAAACTTACGGAAAATTCTATCATGAACCAAGTAAATTTGGGCCAGTAAAATAATAAGGGAATGAAACATTGGAGAAGTGAAATAAAGCCAACGTATTTCAGAGGAGGCAATCGGATCCAAGTTATTCTGAACTTTATAAATGCCAACCCAAGAAAGGTGCTTTTCATACATGATCAAATCCAATCCAAAAGAGGTTGTTTTGAGAATTACTTGCTCTTCCTCATATATACTAGCCTTCCTCCATCATAGAACCTTGGCTCTAGCTGCTTCCTTTGCCTAGAATACACTGACCTTGGTACTTCTCAGGAAATTTGCTGAGAAAGATGGTCATGTAGTTTGCTTGATAAAATATCATACAATGGACTGACGAGTTTCCTTTAGATTAATATATACACCCCATAACTGAATTATCACGCTGCTAAGAAATCTCCCTATATTTCTCTCTTAAGTTCATCTTCCCTCTTTTCTAGAGAGCTGTTGTTTTTTGTGTGTTTTTTTTAAAGGGTTTTAAAATATATATATTTTTATTGATTTAGAGAGGAAGGGAGAGGGAGAGATAGAAACATCAGTGATGAGAGAGAATCATTGGTTGGCTGCTTCCTGCATGCCTCCTATTGGAGATCAAGCCTGCAACCCGGGCAGGTGCCCTTGACCAGAATTGAACCAGGACCCTTCAGTCTGCAGGCTGACTCTGTCCACTGAGCCAAACTGGCTAGGGATTTTAAAAAAGATTTAAAATTGATTTTTTTAGAGAGAGGAAGGGAGAGGGAGAGAAGCATCAATTAGCTGCCTCCTGCATGTTCACTACCAGGGATTAGGAGCCCATAACCTGATGACATGTGCCCTGTTTGGAATCCAAGCAGAACTGGGAGTGGGGGGGGTCAGTACAATAATTTATATTAAGAGGCATTCCCCACTCCCCAAAATCAATTTGGAATGGGGAAGTTAGGGAAGTAATAAAGTAAGGGCAACCTTTTGGTGCATGGACGATGCCCAAGCAACTGAGCTACACTGGCCAGGGCAGTAGACATCTCTTTTGTATTGACCTCTCTTTCATTCTAACTCTCCTGCTCCACTCCTCTGCGCTACTCTCTGCCCTTGCTTATGACTATACCCCACACTTCATGATTTAAAAAATTCAAATAGAACTTTTTGTTTTTATCACTGCCAACATTCATACCAGTAGGCCTTTGCATCCATCTTGTCTTTCCCCCTTGACAGGCTGAAGAAGTGTGCCTTCTCCATCTCAGTCACTCTGCTGTACATTATTTTAATCTTTGTTAACTTGTCAAGGTTATGCCCTTCTGTTGTCTCATTTTCCTCTTGTACATTAATCTCTCCCTTTCTACTTGTTTCTTCTTAGTTGTTTGAAAACATGCTGTTATTTCCCATTCTTTTTTTAAAAAAAATAGTTTTAATTGGTTTTAGAGAGGCAGAGAAAGGGGGAAGAGAGATAGAAACATCAATGATGAGAGAAATCACTGATTGGCTGCTTCCTGCACGCCCCCTACGGGGGAATCCAGCCTGCAACCCAGGTGTGTGCCCTGACCTGGAATAGGTCCATGTTCAGCCACTGAGCTATGCAGGCCAGGCTGTTTCCCATTCTTAAACACAAAGGGAAGAATCCACCCTTAATCCCTTATTGTCCACCAAGAACTTCTCTGTTTCTCTGCTCTTCCTTTCTGCTCTTCCTTGTCACTGGATGCTACTTCCATTTCTTTTACTGACATTTCAACCAGCTTCACTTTTGTTTCTTTTCTTCCTACCACTCTGAAACCACTCTTGTCAAAGTTCCCTGTGACACTCATCAAGTTAAATGCAATGAACGTTTCTACCCTTATCTTGCCCTCTCAGCAGTAATTGCCTACAAAATGTTTACTCATTTCTTTAAGATACATTTTCCTCTCTTGTATAATCTAGTCACCTCTGATATAACTTTCGTGGTATCCTTTTGGTATTTTCCATTTATACGCACACCAGCTTGAGCTGCACTGGCAGAATCCCCAGAGCATGGTTGCTTGTGTGGGAAAGATCCCTGTTCAGGGCAATCCAGAAATGACAAGGAATTATCAGCTTCCTCCGGGTTCATCTATCAGCTATTGGCTGGCAGGCCAGTAGATAAATATCCCTGGACATTTGACCCTCAAGAAGGATTTCTCTGATGCTTGTTTCATACACTGGCTGCCAGAGTTCCCATGGGGTTGTGCTTTAGTCAACCACAGTAATAGCTAACTGTACAGCTCACTCCTACTGGTTTTATTACTTCCCTAACTTCCCCATTCCAAATTGATTTTGGGGGTGGGGGAGTGGGGAATGCCTCTTAACGTAATTATTACACCCCCATCCCCAGTTCTGCTTTTGATGGAACTGATCTAATCTCTAGTGTTTCGTTCTCTTGATTTATCTGGTTGTTCCTTTTGAGTCTTTTCCTCTTTTCTGAGCTCTCAATATTGATATTCACCAGGATTTAATTAGGTCCCCTTTTACCTCAGATTATTCCAACTTAATATACTTTACCTGTTACTGTACTTTCTAATACTATCCATAAGCAACGATTCCAAAGTTTACATCTAGAGGTCCAGATTTCTACTGAGATTTTGTAGGTATATACCACTGCCTTGTTGACATTCTAGATTACATTATGCTGTTTATCCCAAAGCAAATACTTGAGTCCACCTTTTCCTCTTCCCTCCAAATCTTGTTCTTTCCTCAGCTTATTATTCTATTAGTGGCAAATATCACTAATCTCCCCATCTCAGTTCAGAAATGTAGTGATGCATCTTCCTCTGACCTTGTATCCAAATAACCAAAGTTTTAAATTTGTCTTCTTTCCACTACTCTCACAGCACCATTATGTCTCATCTGGCTAAAGCCTCTAACATAGGTGTCCCTAATTCTAGTCTTCCCTTTCTCTAATATAATTTTCACAAGAATTCCTAACTAATTGTCTAAATCATAAAGTAAATTAGCTCACATCATGTGTTGAAATAAACAAAATGCTTAATAGTAGCCTAAAGTGACTGGGGAGAAGGCATTACTACTTCAAGCTCATTTCATCTTGTGGTCCTTTGCTCTTTATACATTACTAGAGGCCTGGTGCATGAATTCGTGCATGGGTGGGGTTCCTGGAGGTGGCCTGCAGGGATTGGGCCGAAACCCATAGTCCAACACTGCCTGCAGCTCCTACCTGTTGCTCCTGCTCATCTTGGCTCCGCTGCACCTGCTGCAGGTTGCGCCCAATCCGTCCTGATAGGTGAGGATCACACTGCAGCAGCAGCAGCAGCAGCGCTTGCCAGCTGTGAGCCCTGTATCTGTGCCCTCCTGAGGGGAGTGGCCTGCAGGATCGGGCTGAAACTGGCTCTCTGACATTCCCTGAGGAGCCCTAGATTGTGAGAGTGTGCAGACCAGGCTGGAGGACCCCACCAATGCATGATTGGGGGTGAGGAGGGACTGTGGGAGGGCTCTGGGGCACGTCCAGGCCAGTCTGACCTAGTCCTGATCAGAGCAGGCTGGGGCTAGCTAGGGAGGAATGCAGGAGGTTGGCCAGCTGGGGAGGGACCACGGAAGGATTCCAGGGTTCATCTGGCCCCTCTCTCCCTGTCCCAATTGACCAGACCCAAGCAGCAAGCTAACCTACTACCAGTGGGAGTGCCTGGTGGTCAATGAACGTAATTGCTACTGAATGACCAGTCGACTCACCTTAGACCTCTCAACCACTTGCTATGACATATCATAGCAAGTGGTTGAGAGGTCTTAACATATCATTAGCATATTAAGCTTTAATTGGTTGAACGGTCAACTTGTCACTGGACAACTGGACACTTAGCACATTAGGCATTTATCATATAGGATACTTTGGACTTATCAGCCTTCTCCAGATACATTGAAAACACTATGCAGTTTCTCAACATTGGAACTGAACATTTGCCAGTTTTTTCCTGAAATAATCTTTGCCTCCAATGTACCTTGCTGTCTCCTTTTATCCTTCTTGCCTTCTTGTTTTAAATACCAGCTCTTAAATGCTTACTCTCTCTGTCTCTTCTTCCTCCTTTTCCTTCCCTTCCCTCCTCCCCCAATTTCCTAGATTCCTTGGTGGCATATTTTTAATGACAACACTTTATCATGTTGTTGAGATGAAAACTTGACCTATTTATTTACTCCTTGCAGCTGGCTGGAAAATCAAAAAATGCTGGAAGAATGATATAGGGCACTGCAGAAAACGATGTTTACAAACTGAAAGGTACAAACTTCTTTGTATGAACAAACTAAATTGTTGCATTCCCATAAACTTCGAGGAATACACTAGAAAGCCACTACCTCCCCTATTCCCTACAGATATTATCAGCAATGTTACTTGGGATGTGCCTCCTACCCCTATAACTTGGCCCAATGATCAGGTAACATATATCCCAGATGACAATAGCACAGGAACTGAGATCACAACTCCCAGGGAGAAAGTTTCTACAACAGCTTTGACACGTGCTACTAAAGTTCCTGCATCAACTTTGACACAAGCTCCTAAAGTATCTACATCAACTTTGACACAAACTCCCAAAGCTTCTACAACGGCTTTGACACAAGCTCCCAAAGTTCCTACACCAGCTTTGACACAAGCTCCCAAAGTTCCTACACCAACTTTGACACAAGCTCCCAAAGTTTCTACATCAACCTTGACACAAGCTCCCAAAGTTCCTACAACGGCTTTGACACAAGCTCCCAAAGTTTCTACATCAGCTTTGACACAAACTCCCAAAGTTTCTACACCGGCTTTGACAACACAACCTACGGGAACTGCTGCAACAACTAACTAACATTTCCTCCTGGGTATGAGACACTAGAGATAACTATTGGGAGTAATATCCAGGAAGCCACTTCTACTTATCTTATTTCACCAGGGACAATTCTGTTGGGTATTGGATGACATGGAGATGGACATAATGCTACTGCCAAGATAAGAGCCAAGAGAGTTACCTTACAATTAAAAATGTGGAAAGAGAAGTATATAGCAGGGATTCTCTTTACTGGGCTTTAGTTTTTTGTTTTTCTTGCATGCATTAAAATATATGCTCTAATATTTGGCCTCAAGTGAACATTTGTGTGTCTGTGTATTTTCCCATGTCCCCTCCCCCTAAATGAAGGCCACAGTGTGGAGCTGCCTTTTTGGTCGAGATGAAGATTTTGATTTTAATGATGCATGAACCACCACTATCATATATGGGAGAATCAATGAAGGCACATAAAAAGTTCTAGACCAGTCTTCCTTTTCCAATTCTTCCACCTTTTATTATGAGCTCTGACTTGAATCCCTGTCTGAATCATGAGATCAAATTTTGTTTAAGGCTTCAACTAGCAACTCACCCAGCTAGAGTTAGAAACTATCTAATTGAGCACAAACACCAGTTTAACTAGATAGAGATGAAAGTGGAACTTACCTTCGGAGCACATCATATAAAATGAAAAGCTATATCACAAGATCTACTTATTTTCCAATGTCCTTTCCTTTCAAAAGTCTAACTACCAGCTAGGGTGATGTCATAGCATGCCTCTCCAGATCTTCATTTTGTCTGAATACTTGTTAGGTGTAGGGTAACTATGTTTGTGTGCCTATATGCATGCAAGTGCTGTTTATTGATATGACAACTAATGGCTCAGCAAGTTTGTTCTCTGATATCACAGAGAAGATAATAATTGTAAAGTTGATTAACTATTAACCTGTTGGGCTAAGGCTACCAAGAACCAGAGTCTCAGATGCCTAAATGTCTCAAAATCAAAATTCTTTTTTATTTTTGTTTAGATCAGCCTGCCAGTAACCATGGCTGTAGTTTGGACATTAGCTATCAGACTGCTGATCTTTCAGTAGACCTCATATTTCAATAGATCTCATACCTCCCGTTAGGGAGACAAACCATCCGAGTGTGCCTGGGACTGATTATCCTTCTAGATCCTGGAAAGTAGAGTACCAAAATCAAGAAAGTCGTTAGCAAACTGGGACAATTACCTTCCAAATGTACCTCAGTCTAAATTGCTCTTCTCCATTTCTTTGTATAGCTGACACCTCATCACATAGGTCACAGGTCAATTCTTCACAGAGGCATTCTTTCACCATAAAAACTTCCCCAGACCACCAGTCTGCCTTAAAAGTTGATTATTTATTCTTTTTCCTTATCTTTGCTTCAAATGTCATATCCTTAGAAATAATCCTTGGCCATGAGATCACTTCTTACCCTAAGTTGTATTATTTTCTTCCTATCACTTAAACTCTTAGAAATTATTTTGCATATTTTTTGCTCTCCTTCTGAATTACTGAGTAATTTATTTATGGCCAATCATAACTTCCATAATGTACATATAGTCCTGATACCTTAATCTTGCTCATGGCTGTGTCCCACACTGCTAGACAGTGCCTTGTACATGGTAAATGCTCCATAAAATCTTGTAAACATGTTAATGCAATTATTCCTATAAATTAAAAAGAAAACTGTCCTGTATGATCCAGCAATCTCACTTCTAGATATATATCTGCATGAAATGAAATAGTTATCCTGGAGAGTTATTTGCACTTCTATGTTCATTGCAGTATTCACCATGATAGTCAATGTATGGAAATAATCTAAATGTCTGTTGACAGATGAACAGATAAAGAACATCCATGTACACACAGGAGAATATTAATCAGCATTTCTTAAAAAGGAAAACCTGCCACTTATGACAACATGCATGAACCTGTGAGACATTAATTATTAATTATGCTTATGGGAAATAAGCTAGATGAAGAAAGAAAAATACTGCATGAGCTCATTTATATGTGGAATCTCAGTAATCAAACTCATAGAAGCAGAAAGTACACAGTGGTTACCAGGGCTCTGTGGAGGAGGAAATGGAGAGTTGGTCAAGGGATATAAAGTTTGAGTTATGCAAGATGAAAAAGTTCTGAATATTGCATAACTATAATTAACAATGTTGTGTTGTATACTACAAATTTGGTAAAGGAACAGACCTTAAGTACTTTCACCACACACACACACACACACACTCACACACACACAAGAACAAAAAAGAGGTAATAATTTTTTTAAAAAAAGGATTAAAAGAACAAACATGCTGAAAGATATTATTTGCAAATTTCATATCTAACAAAGAACTCAAATATCTTCTTACCTAATAAAAGAGTAATATGCAAATTAACCATCACTCTGCTAAACCCACAAGCCACACCCACCAGACACACCCACCACAATCAGAGTGAGTATTCAAATTAACCCCAACCAAGATGGCTATGGCCACAGAGAGCAGGAGGGAGGCTTGGGTTTCCCCAACAATGAAGGAAGCCAAGCTTTCCACACACACTGGCTGGCCCAGGCCTCCACTAAAGGGTACAAAGTTTCAATTATAGAAGATAAATAAATTCCAAGAGAAATGGCTGCCACCATGGAGCAAGCAGGAGGGTTGTCTCCACTCCAGGCTACAAAGTTTCAATTGTAGAAGATGAATAAATTCCAGACACCAGGGCCTCTGCTTGGGTTACCAGGGGGCATGGATGGCCTGCAAACCACCACAGGCCCTTCACCCAGGCCACCCCACACCCCAAGGGAAACCCCACTTTGATCTGGGACATCCTTCAGGGCAAACCAGCTGGCCCCCACCCATGCACCAGGCCTCTATCCTATCTAATAAAAGAGCAATATGTAGATTGACCATCACTCCAACACACAAGATGGTTGCCCCCATGCTGTCAAAGATCCTGCCTCCATGTGGATACAAGATGGCCAGCAGGGGAGAGCAGTTGGGAGGCACCAGGCCTGGAAGGGAGGGCAGTTGTGGTCAATCAGGCAAGCAGGGGAGGGCAGTTGGAAGGCACCAAGCCTTCAAAGGAGGGCAGTTGAGAGGGACCAGGCCAGTAGAGGAGGTAAGTTGGGGGCAAACAGGCTGGCAAGGGAACAGTTAGACATCAATCAGGCTGACTTGGGAATGGTTAGCGGATGATCAGGTGGCAGGCAGAAGAGGTTAGGTGCAATCAGGAAGGCAGGCAGACGAGCAGTTGGGAGCCAGCAGTCCTGGATTGTAAGAAGGATGTCCGACTGCCCATTTAGGTTTGATTCTGGTGGGATCTGACCTAAATGAGCAGTTGGACATCCCTTGAGGGGTCCCAGATTAGAGAGGGTGTAGGCTGGGCTGAGGGACACACCCCTGTGCAGGAATTTTGTGCACCAGGCCTGTAGTAGAATATATAAAGAGCTCTCAAAATTAACAATTCAAACAAATAATTTACTTAGAAAATTGGCAGATGAAGGAACCAAGATGGCGGCCTAGGTAAGCACCTAAGCTGCCACCTCACACAACAATTTCAAAATAGCAACTAAAAGGCAGAGGGACATCATCCAAAACCACAGGAAAGCTGGCTGAGCAGGAAATCTACAACCAGAAAGGAGAGAGGCTCATGGATCGGATCGGGAGCCGCAAAGCGCTGAGGTAGGCAGATGCTCCCGCAGAGAGGAAGGTTGGCCAAGGGATGGGCTGGTGGGAGGGGAAAGGAAGCCCCTGACTGCATTGAACCCCAGTCCTGACTGAAACCCCGTGGACCCAGGCTTATACGGGTGCAGTCTGGACTGTAGAGAAAGCACCTGGAGTCTCAGAGGCTGGGAGATGTGGGGGAGCCAGGAGCCACAGTGCAGGAGTGAGTGCACGCAGAGAGGTCTGACCGTGGAGGTTGCTGCAGCCTCTCCATAGCGGAAAGAGTCAGAAGCTCCTAACTGCACTGAATCCCCAGTCACGACTGCACTGAGCACTGAAACTCTGTTCAGGTTAAGCCTCTGGGGCACCCACGCTTTTACAAGGGGAATCTGGACTGTCAGGCAGAAATTCAGAGGATCCGTGAAAGGCAGAGGCCTGAAGCACGTGCACAAGGGCAGAACTGATGGGAAGCCAAGACTGGTGGCTCAGCCCTAGACTCCACCCCATCCAAGCTGAACTCAAAGGCTTTTGAAGTTTTGAAAGTCTGATCCTATAAGACTGTCTCCAATAGAGAAGGTATCCTGGTGTAGACACAGCTGATATTCACATCCAGTAGGCCTGGAGGTCAATTTCCTCCCAGTGATATCAACAATAATCAAGACTTAACTACAACAAGGCTGTACACGTAGTACACATAGGGGAGCACCAAGAGTGTCTACCTCAGGTAACTGGGGAGGCTGACCCACTGGACCATATAGGACATCAAGCACACAAAGCCACCCTACCAACTCAGGGAAGCAGTGAAAATGCTGAGACAAGGAAAGAGATCTCAAACAAAAGAAATGGAGGAGAACAAAAGTCTGGATATAGAGTTCAAAACCACGGTTATAAGGTTTTTCAAGAATTTCTTAGAAAAGGCCGATAAATTTAATGAGACCCTCGAGGATATTAAAAAGGACCAACTAGAAATTAAATATACACTGACTGAAATAAAAAAAAATATTATACAGAGACCCAACAGCAGACTAGAGGAATGCA